AGTTTGGAGTACTCACCAGAAAAAAGTATAGACTTTTTAGGTATAAGTTGTTCAACAATAGGAACCCAGGAACCAAAAAAGTATTCAAGTGTAGTACTCCAATATTAGGTTTTGGGCTTGGGGAGGGGCACGCTACATTGTTGCTGGCTGAGAGTTTAATGCTTGGCAGGGTACATGGAACAATCTCCACAATGAGAGAGGATCCTCCACCCAACAAAAGGTGGGTATCCTTTACGGCATATCCATACTATGGTGACTTAGCTTAAGTTCCCTAACAGCAACCCAGTTGATGCAACACCAACTCGCAGACGAGGAGCTGATTCAAGACGGGGTCGAAGCATTCCGGACAGTATTTGTCCTGCAGCTTGGGTCACCCACTTTGGGGAGGGTGCCTCGTTTAGATGGTTGGTACGAGACAGATTACCTTCTTCGTGTATATGCTACAGTCCAGAGGGGACTGAGACCTTCCGCTCTTGTTGGGACTGCAGTGATGTGGCCCCCTGCTAATGCAGCCATCCTACCACCTTCGCCGCGTGAACCGCTGCATAACTCTATAAGTAGCTGCAGGGATGATATAGGGATTTCTCAAAATTAGGGGTACCCTTTTGGGGTCCCCTCAATGAGGATTATAATATTTTGGGGTCTATATTGGTAACTACCATATGGAGTACTTATGCGTATAGGTATAGGGACACATGGGGGGATGTCCGAACAGCGAAAAAGCAGATGCAAAATAATGTTGCAGCCACTCTTTAAGATTTGGCGTTGGGGCTGAACATTCAAATCATCCGCCTCGTCAGCGCTCACCTAGCTTTGATCCTAAAACCTAAACCCCAGACCGTCTGTTGGGGCCAGGAAGCCGAAGCACCTTGAAGAGTGTCATCAACAAGGGCCTGAAACTTCTTTAATGGCCGTTGACGTAGCAGAGAAGCGTGAATTGCCCCTATCTAGCGGCGTTCTTCACTTAAGTGGGGCGTCTTGCTTCGCAATCAATATCAACAACTCTTGACTGCTTAGAGATAATTCAAGCCCTGAGATAAGTCCATTTCCCGGGACCTTGCGTGAGGTTCTTGCAACTTCTCAAAGTTGCATTGATGAGGGTTGTGCGGAAGTTCGAGGTGTCCACCGTACGGAAGATCTGTGCTGGTCTTGAGAAACTTCCAGTTGTTAATGAGGTAGTTCCCAAAATTAGGGTCCCATTTTGGTACCCCTAAGTAATAGGTGCATAACCTATAACCAAAAGGGGCCCATAATTTTGAGAACAACCCCACAAGTAAGGGCAGTCTGTTGGCCAAGGAATTGGAGGGGTTTCGGGCTTCTGGTGAAAATCTATGTGTTGAAGCTTCAAGGGGCCATGGACCCTTATTGTGGCTTGCTGCCTTCATGTGAGCTATAGTCTAGATCCTTAATATCGCCCTCAGTAACCCTGATTACTCTCCCCTTGATAACCCCCTATATAAACCCCTTTAAGGAGTCTAGACTACAGCTCATGTGATACATATGAGCCCTAGCAAGTCTTGCTGAGCAAATTCTTGTGCGCTTACAGTCTATATAGTTGGCACATCCGATGGCCACTGCATTTGCTTTGGGGACCATTTCACTGAACATCAGGGCACAGCAACGCCTGCGCAACGGTTTCGCAGGCTGCATAACAGTAAAAAAAAAAATGGTGCAAGGATTAATCAGGGGCTCTAGACCCTGAACCCCACCACTGGATCCGTGCAACCCACAGTAATGATTGTTCTTGCCAAAATCAACAATCCTGAAGAAAGCCCATCACCATTGCTATTGCTACTCTGGCGATCATACTTACCGTTAATGTATTACCATCATGACTCTTAATACTGACTAATCTTACCCTAAGCCCGAAAACCCTAAATCCAACTCTGCAGCCCGAACTCAGCGAAGAAGCCACTTCCCTACCCCAAATGGGGTTTCCCATAAGTAGGGGTACCAACGACAAGGATTATAGTATTGGGGGTATATATTGGGGACCCCTATTTTGGGGAAACTACCATATTGCTAAATACCCGTCTTGTCTACGCTTGTAACTATAAGAGACTATAGACTATAGGATATCACCTGGTTGTAACTCATTCTTTCCCCTGCCTGAAGTTTAGGGTTTACAGCCACGGGGTTAGGGGTTTAAGATTTAGGTTTTAGGGTTTCTGCACGGCAAGAATAGCTGAGCCCTCCTGGACCTCGACCCTAACAACTGGTGCCTAGAAAAACCATGGAACCTGGCACGGCTGGGTCCTGAAACAGCCACTCCTGCTGCCCCCTCAGCGATGAAGGCAGTAGCGCTTGAGATTCCACGGTCAACCCCCTTCCAGCAAGACCAATAGCCCCTAAACCCTAACCTAAACCCCCAAGCAACCCAAACCCTCGAATGTATCTAGCCTGCTCCAGAATGGGAATCCAGTTGATAAGGTTCCTTCGCCAACATCTTTCAACTCCCCAGCGCAAAGGGCTCAAAGGTATTTTCTAGGACAGGGTCGGCAAGAATATAATGGTGTACATATAGGGGTTATATAGGGGTAGTGGAAAAGAAGATGGAAACTGCTATATCACATTATAGGCAGATGGGGTGAAAGCAGACAGAGCAAGTTGGACAACTTGCTGCAGCGGACACTTGGGATCGGAAGGGCAACAATATCTGATTCTAAACCCTGAACCCTCAACCGCATGGGTTCTTGACCCGTCTTGGCCAAGTAAACCCTGCAAGTCACTCAACGTCCATGTACGGCGCCGGCGGACCATCTTTCAAGGGTGCCCTCCGTACATGAGCTATAGTCTGCCCTGAGTAACCACCATAATCCTCCCCTTTAATATTACCTACATATCACCCTTTAAGAAGTTTAAATTACAGCTCATACAGGCCCCCACAAAGGTAATCAGACGAACCTACCGGTTTCCATGCTCTCCCCTGATATCAAACACTTCTGGCAACATAGATGGGCTCTTGTCAGGGGAGCATCAAAACCCTAAACTCTAAACCCTAACCCCCAAACCTTAAATCAAATCCTAAACCCTAAACCCTAAACCCCAAACCCTAAACCCCAAACCCTAAACCCTTAACCCTTAACCCAGGAGTGGTCAATGCTAAGAGGGAAGGGATTGCCAGAAAGCCCAGATTTCGAGCCTTAGATCTGAAAGGTTTGCCCGGAACCCCAATAATTTAGGTGATTTAGGGTTTAGGTTTTAAGGGTTTAGGGTTTAAGGGTTTAGGGTTCAAGGGTTTAGGGTTTACGGATTAAGGGTTTAGGGTTTAAACCCTAAACCCTTAAACCCTAAACCTTAAACCCTAAACCCTACACTCGAGTCTAAAGCTGGGCAGGCCACCTTAAACCCGGGACCCTAAGCCCCTAAACCCGTAACCCACTAAACCCCAAAACCTTAAACCACACCCTAAGCCCGTAAACCCCCTAAACATCCCAACCCTGAAGCCCAATGTGCCAAATTGTAGACATTCAGCAAAGTCCACAGCAGCACTACATATGCATGGGTTTAGGGTTTGGGGTATTGGAACCGCAGTACTAAACATATGAGGATTGGACAACCATGGCAACTAGAACATACTTGTAAAAAGAACAATATGTGTTGAGAATGAGCTGGAGAATCAAGCATTCTAACTACACTCTCCCAACGTGAAACAGCAAGCATAGTACTGACAAAAACCTGCACCCTATATCCTGAAGCCTAAGCACCTAAATGCTGAACCCCGGAACATGAACCCTAGAGCCAAGACTTGAAACCCTAGATGCTGTCAATCTCCTAGGTAAGAGTACTTCGAGGACACCATAGGATATTCCCCTGTTATGACATGATTGTTCTTCAAACCTTGCATCCTAAACCCTGAAACCTAAACCCTGCATCCTAAGCCCTAAATCCTAAACCCAAAACCATGCGTCCTAAACCCTAATCCTAAACCCTGAAATCCTAGACCTTAGATCCTAAACCCTCAACCATAAGCCCTCAATCATAAAACCTAAATCATACAACCTAAACCCTAAACTCTCAACCCTAAAATGCGCCTTGCAGTTTTCTTCTCCTTACTGGGAGCTAATTAGTAAGGAGAATATGGGAATATACTATAAGGGGATTCTACCATAGGGGTTAATGTAATGATTATATGAGCCATACTCTAAACTCCTCGTTTTCCCCTTAACAACCCCTATAATAGTTCCCTCTCGAATCCCCGACATAACCCCCTTTAAAGGAATTTAGACTATAGCTCATATAAGGATCATACAGGGACCGTATTGCCTAAACCCTTAAACCCCTAAAGCCTAAACCCTTTTCCCTACTGAGAACCAGTAAGTCTCTGACTCTTGAGCTCCCGGCTCTTCCAACCCCCCAAAGCGAGGCACGTCTACGCCCCCGAGGACGTAAAATCTCAGTTTCGGGTTCAGGGGTTGAGGGTTTGGGGTTTGGGGTTTAGGGTTGGAATCTTAGGGTGCCTTGTCTGGGCGTAAGGGTTTAGGGTCTTAGGAGTCAAGGTTTAGGGGCTGAGGGTTCGAGGGTAAGGGGTTCAAGGTTTAGGGGTGGAAGGGTGTAAGGGTTTAAGGATTTAGGGGCTAGGGTTCAGGGATTTGGTTAAGGGTTATAAGGGTTGGGTTACTCTTAGTGGGCGTGTGTTTATACACATATGTATCCGCACGGTTATTCCCCGCTGAACTTCAAAATGCTTCGACACATGTTAAATGTCTGTGGGCTACCAGAGATATTTTCCTTTTATACCACTATTGCACGGTGTGATATCCTTTTAGAACAAGGACCGCATTGCCAATCAAGTCCTTCTCTCGAGAACCCTTGCTGCTTAACGTTCGTGGTGCAGGGTCAAGGCTTAAGTTGCACTCCACCTCCCCGAACAATGTTTCGACCAAGTTGCACTCAAGGGCTCTCAAATGCACTCGACCTTTCGAAATTAGGCGAGCGCGGCATGCCCGCCAAAATAATAAATCTTTGCGAAATAGTTCCTAAAATGTGTGACATTCTTCACTGTTACTCAGAAATCTGCACGCCACATTATTCAATCTGATACGTTTGCCGGTGGCGGCACCCAATCTGCATAGGGGGACACCTCTGTGGTAGCAACTGTGGACAGAAGAAATCCTGCACCACCACACATACCTTATAACCCAAGAACTTTAATGTTATGGGACTTATGAGGGTACCAGATAGTGCCAAATTGCATGCATCCACCATATTATTGGGTGAGGGAACCACCTAAGTTGCACTCTCTACACCCTAAACCCTAAACCCCAACCCGAAATCCTAAACCCCAAACCCTAATCCTAAACCCTCACCGGTGGCTTTGGCTAGGAGTGCGGCTTTCCTCCTGTAGACGCTGTCGCGCAGGCACGGCGGGGCCTAAGGCTTCAGGTTTTCCGGGTTTGGGGTTTAGGGTTTATGGGTTTCTGGGTTGCTGTTAAGGAGTTTACTTCAAATTACTAGAATGGGGGAACCATGTCAACTACTAGATATACCCATTGTGGCAACTTAACTTAAGTTCCTTAACAGCAACCGAGTTTTGGGCAGAGTTTCGCAAAACATGACAGGGTCTGGGCAGGGGCCCAGGGTGCCGCACAGGGATTCCTTTGAAAGGCTTCCATGTAGGGGTGCGGTTTTCGCGTCGCTTTTTGAAAGAAAGCCTCAAAAATCCGTACCCCAACTTCTGGCAACTTCAGTTTCGGGCTGAAAGTTTTGCGCTGACAACTGTTGAAGTCCAAGGCGCCAAATTCGGAGATCGAATCTTGTGGTTCGCTGATCATCAGAACCCCAAATCTCATGGTCAACAAAGATGTCTATCGGTTTTTGGTTGGCCTTCAAGCCCTCCGGAAAAGGACTGATAGTTAGCGCCCCTTTACAACCCCCAAGCCCTGAGCCCTATACCCAAAGATGAATCCTAGTGATATGTAGGGCCCTTACGAAACCCTGTAGGCTGTAAAGTCCAAACGCCAACCCAGTGGTTGTCCTTCTTGCATCCGGTGGTACACTCCTTCGGTGCTTCATAGGGATGGGAAACGGGTTGTATACAGAGAACGTTTAGGGTTAAAGGCTTTTAGGGTAAGAGACTATATGAGGTCGTTCCAAGTCATGGTCCCTGTTGGGGTGTCGTCCATGTTGGGTGCTGTACTCTACCAGGGGACTAAATTTGGGTTGTAGTTTTGAAAGCCTACCATACAACGACAACTATATAGAAATGCGGAATGATTATGGGATGTCAGGATGCAACTGAAGAACGAGATGTGTCAGGGGCGGGCCGCATGGGTCAGCAAGCGAACGTTCTTGGCCAAACGTAAAGCTCAAAGAAAAAAAGTAAAGCACCAAGGAAGTTTGGATGGGCTCCTATCCCCCGAAGCCACATGCTTTTGGCAGGCAGCTTGTCCAATTGAGGTCTCGAGTCCCTCACCTGATCTAAGACGACCCCACCCATGTCGCACCCACCTGTACACACGATGGCCGACATCACGCAGCCCCATGAACTACCACGAAGGCTGCGCAACCTGCCACCCAAATGCTACCGAACACCGGTCCCCGCTCAGGCCGCGTAGATGGCCTTGGCCTTGGCATAGAGTGCCTTGCCCTGCGCGGTTTTGCCACCAATCGCGCAGAAGCCCTTGATGCCCAGCTCCTTCCGCGCCTTCAAGCACGCATCGGTCCAGGAGGCGATGAGCTTGTAGCTGCTCTTGCCCGCCGCGTGGGACTTCTTGGACACCACTTTCCTGAGTGTGCGAGAAGGCCTTTAGATGGACCCCCCACCTTGCAATAGCATTGTAATAGGAATGTAAGGGGTCCCTAGCATAATCACCGTGATACCTTATAATCACTTCAGTATTACTGGGCAGGGACTGTCCACCTAACAGGAGCCTTAAGGGGAGCCCTGTTCTCCTCAAAAACTCTTCGGCAGTGATCCTGCAAAGCCCTCGAACAAAACACCATTCAATTTTCTGCCAAACACCCCAGAGGTTTAGGGTCAACCCACGTTTTACAAACTCCTGACTCCTCAGCCCCGACCCCGTATTCTGAGCACCAAAGTCGAAACGCTCGACCCCAAGTCTTGAACCCTCCAAGTCACCCCCTCTTGTTCTTCATCAGCTGGTTCTTGTGGAGGCCGCCCACAGTCTTCTCTTTGCGCCCATTGAAGACCACAGCTTTTGCCAGCTTGCCCCTGCACAAAGGAATGAAGAAGAAAAAACAGACACACACATGGCAATCTTCTAACCGTACGGGAAAGAAGTACTGGCAAAAATGCAGGAGCCCCGAAAGTACCCCTTCAAACACTGGAACCCTCCAAAGCAGCCTTGCAATCATGGAGACGCGCTTGGTTTTCATCGCCTTCATGGTCTTCATAGCCTGCACACATCTCTGTCAGGAGATCTAAAAGTCTGAAGATTGTTGCTTGGGGTGCGGAGATTGGGACTTTTTCGTGCTTGTGGCTTGCAGGGCTCATGGTTCAGGGCTACAATATGTGGTGGTGTGGCCCCAGCATTCCGTGGCATTACCGTAGCATTTCCGTCGCATCCGTACAAAACCCAAGGGCCCCAAGCACCGTCCAGGCAGGAAATCGTTTGGGCACCTCAACATAACAAATTTGTGACCCACGGTTCTCACAACCTTACAGGTGGCTGGTCATCATAAAAGGAAAGTACTAACTACATCGTTTGGGGATTGGGTCCGTTATAGCGATCCGTTGGTCGATTCCCTGCCAAGAACCAGTCAGAAATGTGGCGGGGACGGCAGCTATAACGATGCCGCTAGGTCTAGTCTCAGCACCAAACCGTGCGACGTAAACCCTGAAGACTGAAACCCTGGCCACGTGCGGGAAGTTGCATATGCCGATGATACTTCAGATGACCCCCAAACTAATAATGAATGGGTCCCCTTGTAAAACCATGCCAAACATTGCTAGCTATCCCAGAGTGCAACCTAGAGATGAGGAACGTCCTGCCTTGCCCTTCATGGCAGCCTTCATGGCTTTCATGGCCTTTCCCTTCATAGGACTGGCCTGCGACACGTATGACACGTGACAACTAGTGATGGCAAAGGGATATGTAGATTTGTCAATCATGATCCTGCTTGAACCACCTCCGTGGGAACAACCGTGAAAAATCGAAAGCATTCACAGGACCTAAAACAAACACAGCTCGTTTCAGGATCGACGATGAAGGCGACAATAGCTAAACCTGGCCAAAACCTTTGCGAAAATCTACAAAGCAGAGACCCCCATGTGGTTCTGCTTTTGAATTCCTCCTTGGGGTCTGGGTAGTAAGTAGTAAGGGGGAACTTACAGAAGAACCGAATCATAATAAAAATCACTACGCCGTGCCTTCATGGCGGTGTACTTCATGGGCAGGGCCATCGTGAAGGGAGAGGTCGCAAGAGAACTGCGTTGAGCGACGCGAGCTGGAGCCAAGAGCTCAGAACTTGCTGGTTTCTGGTAGAGATGAGGGAAAGAAGGTGGAAACTACTACGTTGTTGGATGCAGCGGCTGCAGTAAGGATCCATTCCTCCATCCTCTACCAGCAACAAGTAAAAAACACAAGGCTCTAGAGGGCTAGATTCTCTGGGGTTAGAGAGCCATCGCGTGAACGGAAAATCAGTTGATCGAACAAGGAAGAAACTCAGCAGTAGACTCAGTGGAACTTGCTTGCTTCATGCTGCCTACTTCGCATCGTCAAGTTTGTCGGCAGCTTGTCCAATTGAGGTCTCGAGTCCCTCACCTGCTCTAAGACGACCCCACCCAGGTCGCACCCACCTGTACACACGATGGCCAACATCACGCAGCCCCATGAACTACCACGAAGGCTGAGCAACAAGCCACCCAAAAGCTACCGAACACCGGTCCCCGCTCAGGCCGCGTAGATGGCCTTGGCCTTGGCATAGAGTGCCTTGCCCTGCGCGGTTTTGCCACCGATCGCGCAGAAGCCCTTGATGCCCAGCTCCTTCCGCGCCTTCAGGCAAGCATCGGTCCAGGAGGCGATGCGCTTGTAGCTGCTCTTGCCCGCAACGTGGGACTTCTTGGACACCACTTTCCTGGGTGTGCGAGAAGGCCTTTAGATGGACCCCCCCTTGCAATAGCGTTATAATAGGAATATACGGGGACTCTAGCATAATCACCGTGATATCTTACTGGGCGGGGAGTGTCCACCTAACGGAGCCTTGAGGGACCCTCTGTTCTCCTCAAAAACTCTTCGACAGTGATCCTGCAAGGCCTTCGAGAAAAAAAACATTCGACGTTCTGCCAACCACCCAAGAGGTTTAGGGTCAACCCACATTTTACAAACTCTTGACTCCTCAGCCCCGACCATTCATTCTGAGCCCCAAAATCAAAACGCTTGACCCCAAGTCTTGAACACTCCCAAGTCACCCCCTCTTGTTCTTCATTAGCTGGTTCTTGTGGAGGCCGCCCACAGTCTTCTCTTTGCGACCATTGAAGACCACAGCTTTTGCCAGCTTGCCCCTGCACAGAAGAGTGAAAAGGAACAAACCCACACCATGAAGGAACCGCAGTCTTGTACTCGTACGGGAACAGCAGTACTGGCAAGAATGCAGGAGCTTTGCAGGTACAACTTAGCAAAGGGGTTGCTGTGTACAGAGCACTTGCAAGAAGGAAAGAACTTGAAACCACTTGGAAGCTGCGACCTTCGAACACTGGACCCCCCCAACAGCCTTGCAATCATGGAGACGCGCTTGGTTTTCATGGCCTTCGTGGTCTTCATAGCCTGCACACATCTCTGTGTGGAGATCGAAGAATCCAAAAAGTGTTGCTTCCAAAGATTGCAGCTTGGCGTGCGGAGGTTGGGACTTTTGGTGCTTGTGGCTTGCAAGTTCATCATGGTTCAGGGTTATATGGGTGTTTCCCAAAATTA